CATCTTCTCCGCTATAATTTTTGAAACACTTATCGACAGTTTGGCCGAGTGGTCTAAGGGGCTGGCTTAAGGCGCCAGTCCGAAAGGGCGTGGGTTCGAACCCCACAGCTGTCAGTCTATATACCTGACTGGTCTTATATTAAGAACCGAGACCCTTTCAAAAGCGAGGTAGTGCAAGATCAAAACCTTCTGATCGATATTGTGCCATCGCACCTCGCAGGAACCGTTCAACCCATTTTTGTCTCCTCTGGTTTGGCAGAGCGATGCATCACCTCGGCTATGAATCTTGAAGAACTCATCGACAGTTTGGCCGAGTGGTCTAAGGCGCTGGCTTCAGGCGTCAGTCCGCAAGGGCGTGGGTTTGATTCTCACAGCTGTTAGAAATTTCTTTTCGTGTGATTTGATGAAGAACGCATTCCGCGGGAACGGTTCGAAACCGTTTTTGTGTCATGTCCTATAGTGTAACGCATCTTCTCCGCTATGATTTTTGAAGCATTCATCGACAGTTTGGCCGAGTGGTCTAAGGCGCTGGCTTAAGGCGCCAGTCCGAAAGGGCGTGGGTTCGAACTCCACAGCTGTCAGTCTATATACCTGACTGGTGTTGTATTAAAATCCGAGACCTTTTCAGAAGCGAGGTAGTGCAAGACCAAAACCTTCTGATCGATATTGCGCCATCGCAACTCGCAGATACCGTTCAACCCATTTCTGTGCCCTTTGGTTTGGCAGAGCGATGCATCACCTCGGCTATGAATCTTAAAGCATTCATCGACAGTTTGGCCAAGTGGTCTAAGGCGCTGGCTTCAGGCGTCAGTGCGCAATGGCGTGGGTTCGAATCCCACAGCAGTTAGAAATTTCTTTTCGTGTGATTTGATGAAGAACGCATTCCGCGGAAACGGTTCGGAACCGTTTTTGTGTCATGTCCTATAGTGTAACGCATCTTCTCCGCTATAATTTTTGAATCACTTACCGACAGTTTGGCCGAGTGGTCTAAGGCGCTGGCTTAAGGCGCCAGTGCGAGAGGGCGTGGGTTCGAATCCCATAGCTGTTAGAAATTTCTTTTCGTGTGATTTGATGAAGAACGCATTCCGCGGGAACGGTTCGGAACCGTTTTTGTGTCATGTCCTATAGTGTAACGCATCTTCTCCGCTATGATTTTTGAAGCACTTACCGACAGTTTGGCCGAGTGGTCTAAGGTGCTGGCTTAAGGCGCCAGTCCGCAAGGGTGTGGGTTCGAACCCCACAGCTGTCAGTCTATATACCTGACTGGGGTTATATTAAGAACCGAGACCTTTTCAGAAGCGAAGTAGTGCAGGATCAACACCTTCTGATCGATATTGCGCCATCGCAACTCCTAGAAACCGTTCAACCCATTTTTGTCTCCTCTGGTTTGGCAGAGCGATGCATCACCTCGGCTATGAATCTTGAAGCATTCATCGACAGTTTGGCCGAGTGGTCTAAGGCGCTGGCTTAAGGCGCCAGTCCGAAAGGGCGTGGGTTCGAATCCCATAGCTGTCAGTCTATATACCTGACTGGTGTTGTATGTTACCCTACACGAAGCTTGTGGAGTGTAGAGTGGTGCAAAAACAGGACCGTGACGCGCTCGCCCGCGAAGCTAGTTACTCTGAAGCTGTGTATTTCGTGCGACGTTGTTGCTGGTCCTCAGTGTTAGTGTGAGGATTATTGATACCTTACTTTATCATCTATCAGTTGCTGGTGAGCGTGCTGGCTCTTTTTGATCCCATGACGTCCATCCCGGCCTGCCTGGTGGAGGCGGCAGTTCTATCGTACCTCTCCCGGAACAAGCCAGGGTGGATGTAGTTCCCTGAAAGACTGTATGCTCCGAGCTCTTTGGCGAGGACAACGGCAACACCCCGATAAGCCACTTCGGTTTCCTCTCCTCGTGACGTTGGGGTCTTCTCAAGGCCTCCGATCTGAGAGCTGTAGCTAAGCTCCCGTCATGAAGACCTCATCCACTTCCTCTCCGAGCTCGAATGCAAACTCTGAGGGCGCAGCTGCGGCAGCGAAACGATTGCGTCCCTCCAGATTCCTGGACGAGGCCGATGAGGGATTGTTCGACCTACTTTCCAGCGACCTATTCCGAGAGAGGCTCGGAGTTCATCAAGGTCTATGACGATATCAACGTAGACGGGCTCCCTACTCGAGAACAGCTTTCGACCTTGAGGCCGCGTTTGTTAGAAAACGACGTTCTGAACTGCGATTTTAAGGTATGGCAGACTAACCAGAGGTGCCGTTTACGCTAAGTCCGTCAATCTGCCTGGGTCATGAACGCTGGGGTCATGAACGTTCGAAAGATATCACAACCTGGGTTGCCATCGTATGACATATGGCGAGACTCTTTCGTGTTTCTCTAAGTTTGGCATGCTGATTCTGAAAGAGAGATCCCTGGCCGATTATGTGGTATACTCTTATACAATGTAGTGTCTCTGCGATACTTTCTCGATGCATTGGAGCTGTTATGGGTATTATTGGTATTATGGTATTGGTGCTGTTATTGGTGGCACTAGTCTTCTAGTTGGCTCTTGGTACTTCCTTTGCATATCACAAAGGCCAGCTTTGCCAGAGGTTGCGGACCGCAACTTGCGGTGGGTAGGCTCCGACTCCGGACTGCATCCGTGTGGTGTGTCGGTCGCGGTTCCAGGAAGCAAGCTGGCCGACGCTATTC